TTAAATAGTGCGGGCCCGAGGACCAAACCCTGGGGAACCCCACTGCCCACATCCCTCCAGGTCGAATAAGACCCATCCACCACCACCCTCTGGGTGCGGCCCTCCAGCCAGTTAGTGACCCATCTGACCACGTAGGCATCAACACCACTGTCTCCTAGTTTCGTACTGAGAATGGGGTGAGAGATGGTGTCAAAGGCCTTCCTGAATTCCAGAAAGACTATATCCACTGCGACACCTGCATCCAAGGACTTGGTGACCTGGTCGTAGAAGGCCACCAGGTTGGTTTGACAAGACCTGCTCCTAATGAACCCATGCTGGTTGCCCCTGAGCATAATCTCCCCTGCCGGCCCTTCCTGGGCACGTGCCAGGATAATTCTTTCGAAAAGCTTCCCCAGGACCGAGGTAAGACTCATGGGCCTATAGTTTCCTGGGTCCTCCTTCCTCCCTTTTTTTGAAGATGGGGACCACAGTGGCCCTTTTCCAGTCCTCCGGCACATCGCCCGAGTGTCATGAGTGCTCGTAGAGCTGTGCCAGAGGTCCCACAATGACATGGAGGAGAGTATTGCAAACCTATGCCTGGGCAATCATTCTGGTGCATACATGCAAGTGCAGAGTTCCCTCCTGCTTGCACACTGTGGCATGGCAATAGTTTCCCTTAGTGTAGGTCTGCTCCCGTAGTTTTCCCTTCTACTTGCTGCTGCTCCTGGGTCAAGTGCCATGTACATGACAGGTGTCCTTATCCCCCTGTGCCTTAACATTGGGGTACATCTGCAAGTGGCAGTTTCGTTGTTTACAGATGTGTGCTCCCAAGTTGGATCAGACCCCAAAGGCCAGGGAAGCTTCTGCCTGGAAAGGTGGCGGTGTGTTTTGGTACATGTGCAACAGGAATAGGAATGGCTGTGGTCCTCAATGGCACTCTGAAAAGCATTGTGGAAATAGATTTCATAGACATCAGGGCTGGAAGGGACCTCGGAAGATCATCGAGTCCAGCCCCCCGCCCAAAGGGCAGGAAGTCAGCTGGGGTCATAGGATCCCAGCAAGATAAGCATCCAGTTTCATCTTGAAGGTGTTCAATGAAGGCGCTTGAACCACCTCCGGTGGCAGGCTGTTCCAGACCTTGGGGGCTCGGACAGTAAAGAAGTTCTTCCTTATGTCCAGCCTGAAACGATCTTGAAGTAGTTTGTGACCATTCGACCTCGTCATCCCTTGGGGCGCTCTGGTGAACAAACGTTCCCCCAGATGCTGGTGGTCACCCCTGATAAACTTGTAGGTGGCCATCAGATCACCCCTGAGCCTGCGCTTTTCGAGGCTAAAGAGCCCCAGGGCTCTCAGCCTGTCATCGTAGGGTCTGCTTCCCTGACCTCTGATCATGCGCGTGGCTCTTCTCTGGACTCTCTCAAGCTTCTCCACATCCTTTTTGAATTGTGGAGCCCAAAACTGGACGCAGTACTCCAGCTGCGGCCTCACTAAGGCCGAGTACAGGGGGAGAATGACGTCCCGGGATTTGCTTGAAAAGCATCTATGGATGCAAGCCAGCATTTTGGTCGCTTTACTAGCCGCCGCATCGCATTGCAGGCTCATGTTCATCTTGTGGTCAATGATGACCCCCAAGTCTCTTTCTTCCATAGTGC